CCCGCCTCCGCCCACCTCCGCCTGCTTGAGCCCACCTCCGCCCACGTCCGCTCGCCTCCCCCACTTCCTCCTCCCGCCTCCGCCACTTCCTCCTCTCGCCTCCACCACTTCCTTCGCCCGCCATCAATCAATCAATCAATCTTGAACGAAAGGATCCATTGAGATTGAGGAATTTGTTGATTGGTTGGTCGGTTGATTGATTGATTGATTGATTGTTGTCACTGGCGAGAGAGTGTTGGAGGCTACATTCGGGTTCAATGTTGTGCTCGTGCTTGGCTGATAGTCTGTTTACAATGTACATTGCTTATGAGTACACTCTTGATTACTTTGTGTACATTGTGTGATTGCTATCTCGACGTCCGATCAATCAATCAATCAATCAATCAAACAATCGACCGACCAGTCAAACAATCAATCAATCAATCTCACCCCCCTAACCCCCCCCCCAAGTACTAATTATTTCAGGAAAATACTCTGTTTCACGTCAAATTTGGTGTGGGGGGTCCCTTAAAGCAGCGCAAGACAACCTTTTTTTTTTATACTTTTTTGACTTCCCCCCCCCAAAAAAAAACAGTCGTCCGGAAACCTGGACGACCCGGACCACGGACGTCCGACGGAGATGTCCGGGGGAAACGATCGTCCTCCGGACCATTGGTAACCTAGTTTTTTAATTTATTTTTTATTTAAAATTTGGTAAAGAATTTCGATGTGACCCTGAGGCAAAAGTTGTTCAGATTTGTTTTTTGCATAACATAGTTTTTTTTTTTTTTTTTTTTTTTTTTTTTTTTTTTTTTTTTTTACTAGGACCTTCCATGGAGAGAGAGAGAGTGCCGCGCCGCTCCACCACTCTCGAAGTGTGCAAAACGAGAGTGAATCTTCCGTTAGGACATGGAAAGATACATCGCCATGATTATTGTCTTTTGTTCCACTATTCTCGACATGCACAAAAGATAATAATCATGGCGATTTATCTTTCCATGTCCTAACGGAAGATTCACTCTCGTTTTGCACACTTCGAGAGTAGTGTGCGGCTCTCTCTCTCTCTCTCTCTCTCTAGCGCGCGCGCGCACACACACACACACACACACACACAC